ATGTTGACTTTAGAATTTCTTATCTTCTGTTCTCTTAATTGTACTTTAAGTATACACGGAATGCTTCTGTAGGATCTAGCAAGCTATTGACGTAGAAAATAAAAAATTTTAATAATTGAACACACTGTAATAGGGGAAGCTAAAAAGTTTTGATTCTCAGGAAGTGTGTTAGAGAGGCTGTGAGATTCTCCAGGGGAGGTGTAACTAGGGCTGCATAAACAAAGTGATTTAAAGGTTCACTTACCCCAACCTTCATAACTATTACATTGGTTTGAAGTGGTCATGGTACCTGGACAAACATGAGCTCATAGCAAACACTGCATATGCAGAGTTTAACCCCTTTGTTGCCGGAGGTGTAACTCTGTAGCTGGCATTAGGGTGTCATCAGCCAGCCTGTTTTGTTCCTTTTTTATTTTTTTTTACATTTTACTTATTTGTTTATTTAAATTCTTATTTTCTGAAAGTGAGCGTGGAAACGACTAAAGTGGATGAGAATGTTAATTGGACCAAACAACTGTTATGCACAGAACAAAAATAATTTCACATGTGCCTGATTTGAGCTATCCCTTACTGTGTACCTACTGTTTACAATAAAAAAAAGTATTTGGAAAAACAAGTATTTTTAATTTTACATATTACATCATAAAAGATTTATATACTGTGATCAGAGTGATAGCATCACAGCTACATATGTCCTGAAAACGGTTACTACCTAGCTTTTATTCAGTAGACAGTGAATTTTTGTCATGTCTGATGTTTTTGTCCTTTATCTTCTTAGCAGATTCACCATCATTTAATAAATCACAAAAGTTGTTAAAACCAGTCTGGTATTCAGAAATCTGTGTTCTGCAAAGAAGCCAAAATTAGAGAAGCTATTTTTACTGTTATATTTCAAATTCATGTAGTGACATGTTATTTAATCTTCTCTTGTTTTCATTCTGTGCAGCAAAAAAAATGCCGAAATCGGACACCCAAAACCCCACTCATGCTGCCCGTCACAGAGGTGTAAATGTCCAAGGCTCGGACCAGCCGCAACAAAGCAGATGTTGTGGAAACTGACCTTTCATGCACAAAAACTCCAAAAAGCATCTTCTACGCAGATTGTGAACACTGTTTAGGACACTGCTGCTGTGGCTGGCAGAAATTTATTCTGCTTATAAATATATATATATATATAATTTTTTTTTTTTTTTAATTACTATTTTCTTTTTTTTTTGTTCCATTTTATCATACAGTGTTAAACCAAGTTCCAATGATACTTCAATATATAGAGCTAACCATAGACCGGCGCAAGTGTATAGAACTCATCCGAGTTGCTATGTGTCAGGATTGAGGAGGAAAACCATATAATGGTTTTTTTTTTTTGTTTTTTTTTTTCTGAAGTTGTGCAGTTAGCTACTAATATTTTGCTCTCCTGATCATCCTAAAATATTTCAGACCACGCAGCCATTCCTTCTCTAATATCTGCTACTGACCTATAAATAAGAACCCTGCAAACAGGATACACGTCTGGATTTGAACACCAATGTCCAGACATCTTTCTACAACTTTGGCGAAGGTGTAAGATACTCATCTGAGTGATGCTCTGCACAAGTAGAGTGACTGTGGGTTGGCCTGTTTTTTTAAGTCTTGAACTTTTATCTACTTAGTGCATTAATGGACATTCTTGAGTAAAACGGAGTGAGTTATTTAGGTCACGTTACCCTGTTTGGCTGTTTGATATTTCTCTGAAATAGTCATCCTATCCCTTAACAGAACAACACCATGAAAACTTGTTGCACTTTAATTTTTGCCATTTCTACTTGCGATGAAAAAAAAATGTAAAAAGCCCACAAAAAAAATAAATAACTCACTGACATTTCAGCTGCCTGCATCTAAATTATTTCCCTTGAGTTTTTAGGAGAATAAAAAAAGAAATATAAATTGGTAAAACGAGCTCTGAACATTACTTTTTTGTATTTAAACCTTCAGATAATGTTTTACTTGAAATGAGTCTTCTGAAATATTGATTTTTAATGTAACATTAAAGCAGAGAGAATCGGTGCTCTTGTGTGTTACTTGTGTGTACCTGAGGGCAAGTGCTACTAAAGTCTGAGTCTGTCAAACCAATATGCCATAAAATGAATGTGTTAAAGTGCAGGTCTTGGTTTTTGTGTCATGTTGTTATCATAGTAAAATTAAAACCTATTCTCATTTAAAGGGACAATCCAGACCCCTAAAGCACTTTGACTTGATGAAGTACTTTATATGTGAAGACTGTGTCCATTTTGTTTATTTATACATATTTTATCACTCACATTTATTGAAATTGCATCATACACTGCAGCTTTCACTCACCCATATAGCAAAAAAGGGGATTGTTGTACCAGTGATGGAGAACAGCTCCACATATACTATACTTGCAACACAGAAGAAGACCTGGGCACTCTGAAAACTCTTTTTGTGCAGACTACTATTAACTGCAGCTTAAGAAGTGAATGTTTTGGTCAAGTAGACTTTGTCAAGTCATGGTCTAGTTCTGTGGTTCTCAAACCAAAGTCATGATTCAGTATTTGCAGATGATTGATTCAGATAGATTTGGCATCTGGGCATTCAAATGGCAATTTAAATTTAATGTAGACAAATGCAAAGTTATGCAGTTGGGGCAATGAATGCACAAGCAACTTACACCCTAGGGAGTGAATTAGGAATAACACGCGAGAAGAATTTGGGAATTGTGATAGACCACAAACGAGTCAAAATTGTGCATTGTCAACCCTAAAGTTCGGAATACCATGCGGATAAAACTACAGCTAACCACAACCTCTGACATTCACATTTAACCCAGCAATCACAGAAGGTTTGAATCCTAGTGAACTATGTAACTTTGGACATCTGGACTGGGCATATCTCCAACAATAGTACAGCTAATATGAACAAAGTCCAAAATATAGTGGTACCAAAACAAAGTCTTTAGTGGCACCTGATGGGACAGCAACGGCCTATGTAGAGGAATATTCTCTGTATGGATCAAATGGAGATGGCTTTCCAGGATCCATATGTAAAGAGAGAAAAAGATAATAGTGCAAATATGTCTAGTAAAAAAGTTGGATTGCAGGAAAAAGGGTCTATGGTAATCCTACTCACGTGTAGTAGAGCTAAACTAGCTCTAGTGTGGATGGCATACAGCGGTACAATCCCCGCTTGTGGGATATGTAGAGCGGTATTGGTCTTTTAATCCATATGTGGAAGTAAAAGACAGATGATAGGGCAGTACGTCTAGTAAAGATGGATAAATTATACAACAACAGGGTCTAATATAGTTCTACTCATGTGTAGTAGGGCTTGAACCAGCTCTAGTATGAATGGCGTACAGTGGTATAATCCCCGCTTGTAGGATACGTGTAGAATGGTAAGTATTGTACCGATATGTAGACCATTAGAGAGAAGAGAGACAACTGATAGTGCTCCCTATATAAAATTATATATAAGGAGTATAAATAATAAAATGTGTACTCACATATGATTGAGCAGGTGAACTGCTCAATGACTTGGGCGTAAGTGGTATAATCCCCACCTAGGATTTCTTTGGAGTAATACTCAGCAGGAAGAATAAAATAAGGATACCAAGCAGTAGTAGTAATAAAATAAAACTAGAAAAGCTACAATTTCTGGGGAAATTGTGTGAAGTGTTCTTGCCTCCACCAGTAGTCTACAACTGGAGTGGGCGGAGTAACTGTTATCATTTATATAGCACATTTAATTGCAACGTTGTTGCACAGTTACATTAAACCATACATTTATAAAAACATTAGCAGGTGTTCAAAAGGCCCTGTCTATGACATCACTTGCTGCTGCAGCCTTGCACAGGTCAGAGTATTTTGGCGGTTGCCATCTTCAAACGGTTGTATTTTAAAAACTATAAATCCTACAGTGAAGAGCTTTATATTGTGGGAATCACAAGACCCAGACCTACATTTTGCATAGTATGTCTCTGAAGTATTAAAAATGAAAGCACAGTCGCAGTTTAGAAATTGCACTTCAAGTTTGAGCTGGCTTGAGTGAAGTTTCAATGAATGTCAATGGAAGGCGTGAGTTGCAAACAAATGGTCATATTGTGAAATCTATCAGGACTATGGCTTAGCCGTGGACATTTCTAGTGGCAGCAGGGATAGCTGAACGTTTTGATATAAGATTTGTGTAGGTGGGCCTGAAAATAAGGGAGTGGTGGCAGTTTAGAAATCATGTCCTGATTTTTCAGCTTTTGCCAGCTCCCACTCTAGCTTTGCCATTCATTCCTATGGGACAAATTTCGCCACAAGAACGACGATATTCCGTGAACCATTCGGCGAAACGTTCCACAAAGTAATAGCAATCCGATCGGGAACAATCTGCACGTTCTGGTAAATTTTTGTCTATGTAGTGTAAAAACTGTGGGAGGAGTTAGGGTGGCAAATTTGGCTATAATAAGAATAATAATATATATGTGAGATAACAATAAGTGGTCTTGCTATGCAAGAACACTTAAATAGGATAAAAAAGTAAAATGGCACAATCAAAGTGTGTTAAAAGTAGCCAAAATACCTTTATTTGGAATACAGAATAAAATATTAAAATATCCACAACACTTTTCACCTATCATGGCTTTCTCAAGTGGAGACAAAAAAAACATGCTTGGTAGGGTAGGGTTTATATAGGGGGACTGATTTTTAAACAATAAGCAGGTTCTGCGCCCAAATGACATCATCAAAACCATGTACATTCTCAAAATACAAAAATGTTTATACACGTATAAAGACTAATAATCAAGGCATCTTCCCCTAAATTTTGGAATTAAAACGAGGGTTGCAAATAAGGTAAAATTGTTGTTTTCGTTGGTCACGTGATCGGCATCCATATTGGAAATCGGGCCAACCGTGTGACGTGCCGCTAGGGGTATTGGGAAATGTAGTTGATAGGCTAGGCGGCTAGTCTTGTCGGGCTGAGGGGAGGGAGTGTGCGGTTAGAGATATAGGGGGCGTGGTTAAATGCAGTCGGCCGGGAAATAGATACAGCTAATCAAATATTCCTCTACATAGGCTGTTGCTGTCCCATCAGTCTCCATTAATCCCTTAAGGACACGTGACATGTCATGATTCTCTTTTATTCCAGAAGTTTGGTCCTTAAGGGGTTAAAGATTTTGTTTTGGTATCACTATATTTTGAACTTTGTTCATATTAGTTGTACTATAGTCAGCTTTGGCGCAACCTTCATTTGTCTTGTCTTGTGTATCATCTTTGTTTATAGGGCTTAGAGGGAACCCTATTTTTAGGTTTGCTGCCTCCTACTTTCCCTATTTATAGTATTGGTGTATTTTAGTGCTGTTCCCTTTGTTTGTATATTCCCATATCTCCAACAATGGTGCAATGCTATCACCTTACAAGTACTACTGTATCTGATTCCTGATAAAGCGCCATCTAAACTGGATAGGCTCTGTTATTTCCAAATGAGGTAATGCTCGCTAGCGCTGACGGGAAAGCAACTAATCCACATCGACTTGACGGCCTTTGAGACACTTTGTGCTAACCAGACACATCTCAGTAGAGGGATTTCGGTCCCTTACTCTGTATTCTTAACTGCACTGCCAAGGGCCCTGGCCAAATACACAGCCAAATGGGAATGGGATGTAGAAGCAGTTTTGGCAGACCAACAATGGGAGAAGATTCATGTCTTGAGCTTTCAATCTGCAATGATCTCCAAACGTCAAGAGCTGAACTATAAACTATTCATGGGCTGGTTCCCAACTCCAGTAAAGTTACACCAGATCTACAAAGGAGCCTCCGAACTGTGTTGGAGATGAGGACAAGACATAGGTACGGATACCCACATATGGTGGAGCTGCCCAAGCATATCCCAATATTGTCAACACATACATCAGGAAATCCATGTTGTCCTTGATTCTGACCTACTTCTGGATCCCTTACTAATGCTCATCACACAAAACTACCCCTTTCTTCGTGCAGGAAATTACTAACAAAGTATTTCCTCAATACTGCCAAGTCCTTGATACTATAACTGTAAAAGAACTGTACGACATGGAGAGACTTGCTGCATTCCTGCACGGACGTGCTGCTCGCTGTGTTTAGACATGGGCACCCTGGCGTGGATCTGTTTCTAGGACAGTGGTTTCCAAACCAGTTCTCAAGGCAAACCTACCAACCCAGGATTTAGGGATTACCCAGTTGTGTAAGGGTGTGTTTTTTTTTCTTTCTATCATGTTAGGCACAACTGTTTAATCCCTAAATTTAGCCCTCACAAGGTCATCCTTGCGGTTAAACCTGTAATGTCTCATAAGATACTATGTGCTATAATGTGCGACTTAACCTTGACTATCAACATTATTGTACTAAATATGGTTGTTGAAACTTTTTCTTGCCTTGTACTCTCTCATGTTTCATAAAATGGTGAAATAAAGATTGTGGAAAAAATAAACATTTAAGAAAAGTGCATTGTCAATTGTCAGGTGCTAATGCCAGTAAAGTATTATCATGTATAAATAGAGGCATTAATATTTAGGATGAAAACATAATTGTGCCTCTTTATAAATCAATGGTAAGACCATAACTTGAATATGCTGTGTAATTTTGGGCACCTGTTCTAAAGAAAGAGGATATAGCTCTAGAAAAAGTGCAGAGCTGGGCTACAAAATTAATAAAAGGAATGGAACATTTGAGCTATTATCAAGGTCTGATTGGGAAGGGGTGCTAACCACAGCAGCAACGACTGTAGGTAGGAACCCATAAGGCAAGAAAACCAGAATACATGCAAATTAAAGAAAAAAAACAAGTGTATTATTATGTGCAAAAAACACAAAAGAACAAATGCAAAACATAACTCAATAGAAGGAAGCAAGGCCTCTGGATACAGAGGTCTGCTCTGGAACACCAAGGGTTTGCACAGAAAAGCAGCTTGCTCTGGTACACTGAGGGTAACACAGGGTAGCAGTAAGATCTGGAGCACTGATGGTGACAGGGTAAAAAAGGATAGAGATGCCAGACCTAAACAATATTTATGAACTGGTAAACAAGAAGGGGCAAGTTTAACCTAGATAGGGAGGAGATAATTACAAGTTAGTACCAGCTAGGAACAGATTCTGATGTCTTCAGTCTGGGTGTAGCAGCCTACAACAGCACCTCAGAAAGATAGTGGCACTGTGATGTACTGTACAAAACTGAAGAGAGTTTAACATATTTTGTTTAGAAAAACAGCACCTCAGAGTGGATATGGTAGCATTACACAAATATATTCTGGGTTAACAGAAACCATTATCTGGAATTCCATTCATAAACAAGAGTATACATAGGGCACAAGGTCATGTGTTTAGACTGAAAGAAATTAGATTTAGTCTAAGGCAAATGAAATGCTTTTTTACAGTAAGAACAATAACAATGCTGAATTCTGTGCCTGAATAGGTAGTTTTATCAGAGTCTGTACAGATGTTTAAAGGAACACTATAGTCACCAGAACAACTACAGCTTATTTAATTTGTTCTGATGAGTAGAATCATTACCTTCAGGCTTTTTGCTTAAGAAAAAGCAGTGTTTACATTACAGCCTAGTGATAACTTCACTGGCCACTCCTTAGATGGCTGTTAGAGATCCTGGGTCATGGCTGCCTAAAATGCATCCAAACATTCAGTATCTCCTCCCTCTGCATGCAGACACAGAACTTTCCTCATAGAGATTCATTTATTCAATTCATCTCTATGAGGAGATGCTGATTGGCCAGGGCTGTGTTTGAATCATGCTGGCTCTGCCCCTGATCTGCCTCTTTGTCAGTCTCAGCCAATCCTATGGGGAAGCATTGTGATTGGATCAGGCTATCACTTCTGATGATGTCAGCAGACTGCTTGTTTTTCTAAAGGGCAAACAGCATGCATATCTACAGCTTCAGGCTTGAATACAGTAAGATTTTGTTATATTTATGGCGGCATGAGGGGCCCAGGGGTGCTAGATGGTTTTACCACTACAGGGTCAGGAATACGTTTCTGTTCCTGACCCTATAGTGATCCTTTAAACAGCAACTAGATTAATACTTGCAAAAATGTAGTATTCAGGGATAAAAAATGTAATATGTGAGGTAACAGTTTTTTGATCTGAGGAGAGATTTTTTTTTTGCCCTCTTGGATCAACAGCAAAAACAGGTGTGAGAAAGGCTGAACTTGGTACTTTACGTAACTGTAAATATTTGGGATTTTAACTTAGAATCACAAAACTCCTCGTCTGTTAGCCTTTTAATTTGTTTCATGATATGTCCATATGGCATTTCGGAGTTCAGGATTTCACATCAAAACTCGTGGAAAACTTATCCTAATCTCCTGGAGATAGACTACTGTTTAATGGTGCCACTGATCTAAAAAGCCTCTGAATGGCTTGCAATCTTCTTACCAATTATAATTAATAAGCCTTGCATTACCACATCTAACGTAATTCTTTTCACTTGTGAAATTAAAATAATGTACCTGCAGTTCCAATCATGTTATTATATCCTAAAAATCTGAAAACAAGGGTGTTTATGTCTAACCAAAATGCATTTATCAGTTTGTAAACAGGTAAGAAAAAATGATGGCTGAAATTATCTTTAAATTTAAGTTTCTTTTTTTTTATTTCTTTTTTTATGTGCTTTACATAACAAATATTCCATACCTTGAATGTGCTATTTGGCCATCTTTTTTAGTTCTACATTCAGAGGTGAGCTAAATCGGGTGAAACGTGTCCTGTCCGCAGGCTCCTTATTTGAAAGACAAAATACATTTATTTTAAAATACATTTATTTCTAAGTGGCTTTCTTTCTATGTAAGCAGCTTCCACAGCCAGCTACTGTTAAATGAGTGAAGGAAATGGAAAATGTGTAGGTTAAGGTAGGTGGAAGAATATAAACCATAAGTATAATAACAGAGTATGTGTGTGTAGGCGAGTGCTTGTGTCTCTGTGTGAGTGTCTTGGTGATATGTATGAACGAGCACCAGTGTGTGCTTTGTGTCATTTCCAATGTTTCTCAGACGCCATTTAATGGAAATGAGATGTGGAGAGGGACACTTTCATAACAAAGAAAACCCTACTGTGACCGAAGCTCCAATGCTATAGCCTACAGGAGAGGCATAAAGGCTATGCTCTTACCCACAGACTATGGCAGGGCCGCCATCAGAAATAGTGGGGCCCCTAACACAGCTCAAAGTATGCGCCCCCGGGTGCCCGCCTCCAAACATACAGACACACACACTGACATACATCCATACTCACATAGACAAACAGACATACATACTCCCATACAGACAGACATCACACACAGATATTTACATACACACATACATACTGAGACACACACACAGACATACATACATACACACATACATACTGAGACACACACAGACATACATACATACTGACATACACACATTCATACTGAGACACACACACAGACATATATAAATACTGACATACACACACAGACATACATACTGACAAACACACAGTCATACATACAGTGGCGTACACATGACCCATGGGGCCCCGGTGCGAAAATTGATCCATGGGCCCCGGTGGGCGGGTCACATGGGCCCATGCACCCCATGGGAGCATATGCCAGTGCATGCAGATGCACACACACTTAAAGGACCACTCTAGGCACCCAGACCACTTCAGCTTAATGAAGTGGTCTGGGTGCCAGGTCCAGCTAGGGTTAACCCATTTTTTCATAAACATAGCAGTTTCAGAGAAACTGCTATGTTTATGAATGGGTTAAGCCTTCCCCCTAATCCTCTAGTGGCTGTCTCATTGACAGCCACTAGAGGCGCTTGCGTGCTTCTCACTGTGATTTTCACAGTGAGAGCACGCCAGCGTCCATAGGAAAGCATTATGAATGCTTTCCTATGTGACCGGCTGAATGCGCGCGCAGCTCTTGCCGCGCGTGCGCACAGCCGACGGGAGGAGAAGAGGAGGATCGGAGGAGGAGAGCTCTCCGCCCAGCTGGAAAAAGGTAAGTTTAAACCCCTTTCCCCTTTCCAGAGCCGGGCGGGAGGGGGGTCCCTGAGGGTGGGGCACCTCAGGGCACTATAGTGGTCCCAAAGGACCACTACAGACACCCAGATCACATCAGCTCAATGAAGTTGTCTGGGTGTCAGGTCCTTCTAGTTTTAACCTCTGTAGAAGTTGAAAACATAGCAGTTTCAGAGAAACTGCTGTTTCACTGAGGGTTAATCCAGCTCTAGTGGCTGACGCTGGAGAAAGCTGTAAGTGCTGAAGACACACACACACACACTTACAGACGCATACACACTAGCTAACAGACACACACATTTACTGACAGAGACACAGTCAGCGACAGACATACATACACACTCACTTACAAAACATACACTCTCATTGACAAACACACACTCACTAACAGACATCAAACAGACTCACTAACACACACTCAGTAAGACACACACAGTAACACACTCACTGACACTCATTAGCAGACACACACTAACACTCACATTCACTCTAACACTCACTAGCAGACACACACACTAACACTCACTCTAACACTCACACACACTAACACTCACTAGCAGACACACACACTAACACTCACTCTAACACTCACTCACACACACTAACACTCACTCTCACACACACACACACACACTCACACACAAACACTCACTCTAACACTCACTCTAACACTCACTAACACTCACTAACACTCACTCAAACACTAACACACACTAACACTCACTCACACTAACACTCACTCACACTAACACACTAACACTAGTTGTTGTTTTTTTTTTAAATGTAATCCCCCCAGCCTCCTTACCTTTTGGAGTGCTGGGGGGATTCCCTGTGGTCCAGTGGGGCTGCTGGCCGATCGGGCAGGCGGGCGCGCGAGGGAGCACTTTCCCCTCAGTGCTTCCTCTTCAGCTCCCTCGCGCGCCGCGTAGGGATGCCGGCGCCGGAAGATGACGTCATCTTCCGGCTCCGGTATCAGTGCGGTGCGCGAGGGAGCTGAAGAGGAAGCACTCAGGGGAAAGTGCTCCCTCGCGCGCCCGCCTGCCCGATCGGCCACCCGCCTTCCGGGTGTCAGCAGGGCCAGCCTCGGGGGGCCCTGGGGTGGCCGGCTCCTTGGCCCCCCAGGGGAAGAGGCTGGCCCTGTGGCTACATACCGGGTCGCAGGGGCGGCCGGGCCCCCTGGTGGGCCGGGCCCGGTCGCAGCCGCGACCCCTGCGACCCTGGTATGTACGCCACTGCATACATACATACTGACAAACACATACAGACATATATACATACTGACAAATACACACAGACACATTCATACTGACAAACACACACAGACATATATACATACTGACAAACACACAGACATATATACATACTGACAAACACACACAGACAGACATACATACTGACATATATACA